TGAAATCCGCACAAAGGAATTGAGTTTTTACCACAAACTCAAATATTTAAAACTCCATATCTTTGCAACCTGACGGTATAAATCTCTAATATTGTAAAGGAATTGAGTCTTTACAACAAAATCTGATTTTTCAATCTCAATATCTTTGCAACCTGATGGTATAAACCTCTAATATTGTAAAGGAATTGAGTCTTTGCAACAAACTCTGATTTTTTATCTCTATATCTTTTCCATTCAATGACGTTGATCCAAGATATTTTGAATTAAGAATTCTGTGAAATCAAATTATTTAAGTTTGTACATATCAAAGGTTTACACCATATGCATCAGGTTACGAAGACATAGGGGTTAGAAAATTTTAGTTTGTGGCATAGACTCAACTCCTTGACGCTATTTTATCTAACAAAATTTATATCTAAGGTGTTCAACATTGGGTTGAAAAGAAAAGATCAGAGTTTTTGACAAATACTTAATTCCTTTAAGGTCCAAAATGTAAAACGAACAGCAAAGTAAATGAAAAGTCCAGTTTGTCTTCTTGGCACCTTGCATGACCGACATGACCTCGGGATTTTTTACATTTCAATATTAACGGTGGTTTTTGAACCTTTGTCTGATCAAAAATGTAGATTTTAAATCTTGTAGATTAAATCTTCAATTATTTTATATCTGGAGATTAAAAACAAAATAAAAATTTAATATTTTCATATTTTGAAAATTTTTAAAAACAATTTCAACTCTTTGTTAAATATGAAAGTTTATATAAAATAATTATTACCTGTATATGAATAAGAATCAATGTTCTCAATTTCAAAATATTCTCCAAACTGACTCCAAGCTCCAAAATACCTCCAAACTGACTTCAAGCTCCAAACTGACTCCAAGCTCCAAACTGACTCCAAGCTCTAAACTGACTCCAAGCTCCAAACTGACTTCAAGCTCCAAACTGGCTCCAAGCTCCAAACTGACTCCAAGCTCCAAACTGACTCCAAGCTCCAAACTGACTTCAAGCTCCAAACTGACTCAAAGCTCTAAACTGACTCCAAGCTCCAAAATGACTCCAAGCTCCAAACGCACTCCAAGCTCCAAATTGACCCAAAGCTCCAAACTCCAAACTGACTTCAACATCTTCGGTCTAAATCTAGAACACTGTGAACTAAACAAGAGGACATTTTTTGTACGACTTTGTGACCTTGTAGTTATACTATAGTTTTGTGACCTTGTAGTTATACTATAGTTTTGTGACCTTGTAGTTATACTATAGTTTTGTGACCTTGTAGTTATAATATAGTTTTGTGACCTTGTAGTTATACTATAGTTTTGTGACCTTGTAGTTATACTATAGTTTTGTGACCTTGTAGTTATACTATAGTTTTGTGACCTTGTAGTTATACTATAGTTTTGTGACCTTGTAGTTATACTATAGTTTTGTTTTAAAGAATATGAAAAGCATATTTATCCTAATATATAATCTATATATCCTAATATATAGATTATATATATTGTATAAATATTTTATATTAGAAACTCAAAACATTTTTGTTCTTCTCAATGGCTCTTACATAAGAGAAGTAATAATTGAAAACAAATAAAATTTTACTTGCATAATTACTTTAGTTTACCGTGACAAGATGAACAGTGTACAGATGGCACTCTCGTCTGGTAGGAATGGGTCTGGGTCTGGAAGGAATGGGTCTGGGAGGAATGGAAACCGAAAACATGATGTTTACACAATTGAGGTAACATCATTTTATAGTTTCTATTGGGGCATGGCCCATGGCCCATGGGCCTTGGAAATGAGTGATTAAAAAAATCATTTTTAATAATAAAGTGGCGCTGCAGGGAATTTAAAAACTTATTTTGGAAATTAAAGGGCTAGAAGAATGGCCCTTTTCCATTTATGTCCTCCCATCTTTCCAGGGAGGACGACCCCCCTTTCCAATTTTCTAGGGAGAACGGCCCCATTCCAATCTTTCCAGGGAGGACGACCCCCCTTTTCAATTTTCTAGGGAGGACGGCCCCCTTTCCAATTTTCTAGGGAGGACTACCCCCATTTCCAATTTTCAAGGGAGGACGACCCCCTTTTCAATTTTCTAGGATGAAAGACCCCCCTTCCCAATTTTCCAGGGAGGACGCCCCCCCCCCCTTTCACTGATCGTTTTCATTACTTCTGTTTACTGCCAAGACTCTCATGAATTTGGTTTGGTTTGGCCAATTCTTTTTTAACAGTTTTGACTATAAATTATGTTTTATGGGTGATTGCGCGAATGACCAAAAACTATATGGGAAAAATAATATCCAAGTGAAATCTCTGTGAAATTAACTACACGACTTCTATATATTTTAAAATATAAATGTATTGGATTTTTTTATGTCTAGCTGAAGTGACCGGCGTTGCCCGTAGAATTAAAAAAAAAGTGTTTAACAAAAAGATTTTTATTCTTGAAAATTTACAGGGTTAACCACAAAGTATGAGACTGTAAAGATTGACCTGAAACACTTCAAATATGAAAATAATAAGTTTGAATTAAGAATTTTGACTTAAAGGGAGTGTTCGAGAAAAATGAAAGAGGGTAAAGGCTTTCGGAGAAAAATAAGCGCTTTTGATCGCTACTAATCTTACTTCTATCTGTTGCATCTATAAGGAGAAAATTGTTAAAGACGTCTCATACCGAATAACTTAGCGGCCATACAAATTGAGAAAATTGCAACATACGACTTAGACCGTAAAAAATCAATTTAATTTCAAACAAATCATTCAGATATTACAACCTATATTCATCGATTATCTTTCGCCACATTTGTATTAAGTTTATATTTTATAATATTTTTTAATAAATTTGTTTGTTTCTCTTGTCGCTTGCGCAACTATCTAAGAATGCCGCACACCACTCACAATTTTCGAAATCCGTTAAAAAAGTTTAAAAAAAAATAAAAAACAAATTCAGTCGTCTCTCTAGTCTTATTATTCAGGTGTTTACACAGGATTTCAACCTGGGGAGGGGGCGAGATTTATTTGGTACAAACAAATCTGAAAAGGAACAACAAATTCTAAAAATAGGAACAAAAAATTTTGACAGGACAGGAAGACTTGAATTATAGTATTTTACCCCCCACCTTATAGTTTCTTTTTACATAATTCAAAAAGTATTGGTCTGAGGCTGTTGAAATTTTCTGACTTTTTCTAAACACCCATAGCCATTTTTTAAGGTCTTAAACCAGGCTTTCATACTAACTGCCTGATTCCTCAGGCACACTGGATGAATGACTACTTTTTCCTAAAAAACTAAATCTTTGTTTTGACCCACTCGTCAGATTTTGATAATTTTTAGATTTTTGGAAAGCCTATGACATAAGGAAACGGACTGAACAAGTTTTGCAAAGAAATTTGTGCAAATAATTTGCATACAACCCGTCAAAAGAAATTTGTACTTTTTATTTAAAATTTTGCTAGATTTTGCCAAGGTCAAGGAGTTTTCAAAAATGTATTTTTTATAATTTTTTGGACATATTTTGCAAAAGCATATTTAACTGGATTTAGCAAAAAAAAATTATATTTGCAAATATGCAATTTTTTGGCAGATTCTAAAATTAGAGCATAAGAAATTTTTAGTGATGTATCATTTGTCATATTTGGACATCAAACATGGGATATAGAGGGGGGGGGGTCAAATTGACCCCCCCCCGCGTTTCTTGGTTTTCAAGTACCCCAGCAGGGATAGGGTTAAGTTCGACATTTCTTTTTATTTATGATCTGATTTACCAAGTTGTTTGTTTTGTATTAAAAATCATAATTACACTTCAAATAACCTGATAAAGGGGTAAACATACGTTTAATTAATTTAAGAACATGATTTAATTAAATTGGGAACAGTTTTTGCCTCAAAATCTTAAGGAGGGGGGGGGGGCGAAGGTCCCCCCCTTGGAGCCGTCCTGGATATCCTTTGTAGTTCATCCTGTATTATCCTCGGATACTCATCTCGCATTTTAAATGTCGTCTTACAGATTAACAAATTTTTGTTTACAATCGAAAATCAGTGAGTGTTATCCTCGACTTTGAGCAGACAAATTTAACAACATATAACAACACACACATATAACACAGAAATACAGTGATAACCAGAAAACTCTGAAATGGGAAAACGACATTTATGACTCAATTTACTTCTTTAATAGTTCAATAATCATTGGGCACAACCGTTAAGCAGTGAAAGCACACCATTTTCACTTAAAATGAGTTATTTAATAAGTGTTCAGTACAACTATTTGCTTTGTAACTACATCAAATGCACTAAAGTATTGCTATACAGTCGTATTGTGGTTATTACTGTAGGAAAAAGGTTTAAAATCGATAAACTAAATATTATGTTATAATAAACTATATAATAACTATAAAAATATTAAAAATGTTAAAATTCATATACCTTAGGAAATCTTTCAAAAATGATCAATGATAAAATGGGTTCATGGAATATTATTAGAACACTTTTAATAGAATTAACTTCAACAAAAATCTGTTCAAACTGTACAATCTACATCTTATATTTCATACACAGGGTGTCCCACGAAAAATGACAGTTGGTGAATAGTTTGAAATGTCTTCTTCCATATTTTTTTAAGTTGTCTGATAGTAAAGAGACTAATAAAAAATAGTATATGACAGTCGTATTATAGCAAAATTGATTTGAAAGTAAAATATATTTTAGTAGACTTTTTATCTAAATAAACTACACAAAAAGTCTTAAATATCTAATACATTATATGGAAGAAGGCATTTCAAACTATTCACCAACTGTCATGTTTCGTGGGACACCCTGTATATAAAGTATAAGATGTAGATTGGGGAGACATTTATACATGAGTTTTACGTTTCAAGATTAGATATTACGCAGTGTTAAAATCAATGAAGAAGATTAAATTCTTTGATAATAAAGTAAATAAAAGTCTCTATTTATTCTTTATTTTAGATCAAACATCACTATCTTAATCAATTAAAACTTATGAACAGTAATATAACGTTTATTTTATACATTACTTAAACGTATCATTCATTCACATTCTTACATTTTAAATATGCGACACAATATATAAATTATTACAGTATGTATATATTAAAGGATTTATTGTTTACAAAGATGGTCATCTCCTGGTAGTGGCTCCCACCCACATGAGTCAGTCATGGGGTCAAAAAACCATGAATCACAGGTGTACTGCTCTAAGTGGCACATGCCAGAGTCATCAAAGATACATTTGTAATACTTGTGACAATCCCCAGGGTATGCTGTTAAATCTCCGTTCTCCTTGCACCCAACTTCATCACAATCATGTTCGGTTGGTGTAGTTGTAGGAGTAGGGAGAGCTGTCGATAGAGTTGGAATGGTTGCATTACCATTGGTTGGGTCGCAGAGGGGAGCTTGTGGAGCACATGCAGCATTCTCACCAGCAGTTCCCAATATTTCGTTCTCTTCTAGACCTTTGCCAAATGTCAGAGCATTTGCGATTGCTTTGGTGATGGTGTACTTTTCTTTTCCCCATAATCCCATGAAGTTGTCAGTGTCAATTTCCCAAACAAAAGCTCCTTTTAGCTTGTGATGGTTTGCATATCTTGCTTTTAGGTCAACTGATATTTCATCGTCATAGGAAACCCAGAACTGGCCTTGATATGCGTAGGGTGACATATAACATCCATCTGTGAAAAAGTTCCAGTTCTCAATTCCAGGCTTCATATCTTGATAGTTGGCATCCTCAATTGTGTCATTGTAGAAGAACTGAAGAACTTCATAATAGTTGAGCCATCCCTCTTGCCTGGAAAATGTCATGTTTGGAGATCCTGAAGCCGGGCAGTAAATTCCATTGTCATCATTGTTCTTCAGTACAAATCCTTTGGCTTCAGTGTGAATACCAAGGGATAGCTTTTCAGATGGAACTCCCTTGTTGAGATAGTACTGGACAGTTGCATGAATGTTAAACTCATAGTGAGGATGGCCTTGGAACCCTTCTTCCCATCTTCCGTAAAGAGGAGCGTCTATTCCAGTAAACTTATCCCAGGCGCCACCATAATCATAATTCATTATGTTAATCCAGTCAACATACTGATGTACCTTTTCTATCTCATAAGCATTATTTGCCTTGTAAGGATCTGGAGCAGCAGCAAATGTTATGAGTAACCCATCCTTGTCAAATGCTTCTCTCATTTCTTTCATTAGAGAGGTAAAATGGTACTTGTCATTTGGATCTGTGGGTACCTCAGGCAACATGTCGTATGCAGGATATTCCCAATCCAAATCAAGACCGTCAAATCCAAAATGTTTGAGGAAATGAACAGCACTTCTGATAAACATCAGTCTTGTTCCTTCTGTCTGAGCCATTTGAGAAAAGATCCACCCACCAGCAGTCCATCCTCCAACAGAGAAAAGAACTTTCAAATTTGGGTTCTTTTCTTTCAAGGCAATTGTTCTTCTCATTCCGTTGTGATGACAGTATTCAAGTCCGCTGTCGGTTGTACAACCAGGAGGCCACTGAACTCCATCTCTTTCCTGGATGCAGTTAGGAATTGACATATCTCCACCATCAATCTCCATACTCATGTCAAACCATGGATCCCAACTACACACCTCATAGGTGTCATTTAAAACATTACCAAACCCGTAGTAGATTACATCGCAGAGACTAACATCAATGTCCTCTGGCCAGAACTCTCCCATCCCCGGTCTTGTATATGCCCATACTCCATAATAGCATCCAAGATGCTTGGCCTCTGCCTGACCAGCAAGCCCTAAAGACAATATGTATCAGTCCTTCAGCGTCAAAAAAGAGAGAAGGAGCCACAAATTATCGAGAGTTATTAGTTACTAAAAGAAAAACGCACATTTTCTATTAAAACTGATTAGATAAGTTAGTACTTTTTTTAATCTGTTCATAAACTGTGAATTAAATTAACAAAGTAGATATAATAAGATATAATTAATAACTGAACGCTTAGTTAAGTAAATGAGTTGAAACTGAAAGGTTCTTTCTATTGGTTGTTGAAAGCTAATCTGTTAACATTTTAAACCATGATGGTTCCCTAGCCATATTTTGATTTAATGAGATGGTTTTAGATTTACAATACAAAGAACAGTTGTTCTATATATAAAGCTTATGAAAGGCATACAATTTCGTTTACATACTATGGATATACATTATACAAACGGGGTTAATCACTCAGGATGGGACTGTAAAATCTCTGAACATATGGAGCTTGATTTTTGGTTTCCGTTTTCCATTTTTTTATTGAAATGGTTTACTAAATGATAAAGCACAGAAATGAACCAGATGAAGTCTGCAAGAAACCCTGAATGTAAGAAAAGAGACTTAACAATTTTTGGCCAGAAAAAGTTTTGATTATTATTTCTGGAAATTATTCTGGTTTTTAAAATTAAGCGTTCCATTAGAAATTCTGTGAACGCAAAAGTGTAAGATCTCTCCTTGAACTTTCTTCTTCTTTAAACTTCTATAAAAAAAATTATATTTTACCTAAGGCAAGAATTGCCAAGGGAAGTAACATGGCTCCGGCCTGACTGATAAGAAAAAAACAGACTGAAATATTTTATTCCAATTTATAATCTCTAATGTTTAGGTGTTTTAAATTTTCAAATTTAACAATTTAACAATAGCAAACTTTTTTTCTCATCCTGGTAATTTTTATAATGCTCAGGCAAATAAAAGGGATCAAAAAAGCATAAAAACCTTTTTAAACTGCCAATATATAACCTAACAGGAAGAATGCTTATCTAGCTTTCTATTGACGTGAATCCTGGGTAAACAAGTTAACAAAGAAATGTTAAGAAGGACAAATTAAATTACTAAAATATTTTATCAGTTTATGTAAAAATATAAATTGAAAAACAATTTGAGAAATTTACTGCTTTGTATTAGAATAATACTTATACTTTGCTTGTCTGTTTGTATCCAATAAACATCAAAACGGCTGAACCGATTGGACCCACAATTTTTGAGGCAACTCATATGACCCCAGGGAGAAGGTTTCCGGATGCTTAGAATTAAAAAAAAATTTCTACAATTCTAATCGCAATCATGACAATTTTATTCTCTGATTCTTGTGGTTACTCTGAAACAAGGTACTAATGCAAGGAAAGTTATTTCAGAGGTGTACGCATTTTTTGTACTATGAAATATTCTGGTCATGCAAATTTTCAAAATTATTAAAATTTTAACCTCCTCGGATACCAGACGAACACTTTTCTTCATCATCATCTATTCTTGTTTACAAATTCCGCCCAGAGAGAAAGCTGGTTTCAATATGAACGCAGAGTATACGCGACCGCAATTAACTTTCCTTGCATTAGTACCTTGCTCTGAAAGGTCAACAAAAATTTTGAATTAAAAAGAAATAACTCAAAAAAGGAGGGGGGGGGGGTATTATTGCTAGCTCGCGTCTTTAATCTTGCTTTATCTTAAATTGAAACCGATTCCTTGAAATCTATTCATATTCGAATATACATTATTCAGCCTGATTCAACATTTTCCATATTCGAATATACATTAAACAGCCTGATTCAACATTTTCCATATTCGAATATACATTATACAGCCTGATTCAACATTTTCCATATTCGAATATACATTATACAGCCTGATTCAACATTTTCCATATTTGAATATACATTATTACAGCCTGATTCAAAATTTTCCATATTCGAATATACATTATACAGCCTGATTCAAAATTTTCCATATTAGAATATACATTATACAGCCTGATTCAACATTTTCCATATTTGAATATACATTATACAGCCTGATTCAACATTTTCCATATTTGAATATACATTATTCAGCCTGATTCAACATTTTCCATATTTGAATATACATTATTACAGCCTGATTCAACATTTTCCATATTCGAATATACATTATACAGCCTGATTCAAAATTTTCCATATTAGAATATACATTATACAGCCTGATTCAACATTTTCCATATTACAATATACATTTTACAGTCTGATTCAACATTTTCCATATTTGAAAAAACATAGTATCCATTCATCTCATAGTGCCTTCAACAATGTATCAATTGGGAAACATTTGTAATCGTTAATTCTCATCTTAAATGGGTAGCTCTGTAGGCGAAGTGAAACTTACAGGAACTATGATTGTATTTTCTAGTAACTCTCCATTAAGAGAGTGGCATGGCCGCATGTCCGATTTACAACGGTCGCTAAAAGCTTTGTCTAGTCAAGTATGTAACCAATGCCTTACTCCAATAGTTCTTTAAGTTTATATCAATCCAGGTACAACTCTCGCAGAATTCTTAAGTATGTATCAAACCATAAACAACTCTCGCAGTATTCTTAAGTATGTATCAATCCAGATACAACTCTCTCTGCACACACCTCTCCCCCTTTAGTAAAAGTAAATTAAACCTATATGAAGCATAAATCTGACCGCGTCAACCTTGTTGCGTCGGATAGTCCTGTTGATTGTCTTCTTTATCAACCCAATGTTGGTGCTCTATGTATTCTTAAGTATGTATCAATCCAGATACAGCTCTCTCTGTATTATTAAGTATGTATCAATCCAGATATAACTTTCTTAGTATTCTTAATTATGTATCAATTCAGATACAACTATCTCTCTATTCATCCAGATACAGCTTTCTCTGTATTCTTAAGTATGTATTAATCCAGATACAACTCTCTATGTATTCTTAAGTATGTATCAATCCAGATACAACTCTCTATGTATTCTTAAGTATGTATGAATCCAGATACAGCTCTCTCTGTATTCTTGAGCTAGATAAGAAAATTTTAGTTTCAAACAAAGACTCAATTCCTATTAGAACTAATGCACATTTTATATAGACTCATAATTTCAAATTCATATTCCGAAGTCACATTTACTACCATATCATGCATTAAATATAATCCTGTATTTAAACTATTTATATCAATATCTAAGTTTATTACATTAGACTTCCATTATATAAATCCTGGTTTAGGAGGGAGGGGGCAAAGGGTGGGGGGGGGGGTGATTATTATTCACCCTTCAATAGGATTCACTTTTGGACTTAAGGCTCTTTTAAAAATCTTCCAAAAACATTTGACTTTAAATACAAAAAAAATGCAAATTATTTTCTCTAATCTAAAATATGCGAAAATATATTACAATTTCGCCGAAAAATCCTTAAATCCAGAAAAAAATTATTTGACTAGAAAACTAGAAATATTTTTATTTCGAACAAAACAAAAATATGTTGGCTTCGTGAGGCCTGGCGAAAGCTTAAAGTCGGCCCGGGTCTAATTTCTTAAATCAATTATTTTAGAAGACTGTGGTTTATTTCAACTCCCTATTTGTTTACGACAGGAGCAGTTTTCCTTCTAAATCTGCTTTTTCCTCCTCTATCTTAAATTCAAGGTTATTCATAAACTTTTAACGTTTCAATACCAGATTCTGGTTAAAGGGATTGTAAACCCGATTCTGGTTTAAGGGATTGTAAACCAGACCTTGGTTAAAGGGATTGTAAACCAGACCCTGGTTAAGGGGATTGTAAACCAGACCCTGGTTAAGGGGATTGGTTGGCTGGTTGGCACTCATGAACGATAAGTTGATTTGCTCAGCTTTGATCAAAATAAAAAAATAAGGCATTATGTGTTTTTAGAAATATGTGACATTCCCTTCAATATAAAACAGAATATTAATCATACTTTCATCTTGTCGTCAGACTGCAGACATTTTCCGACACTTGCTCAATAACAAATTGGAATTCTATCGAATAAAGGATTTTGAAACCAATATTGTTTTCTCGGAGGTTAAGGAAAATCACGAAACCTAGCTTTTAAAATTTTAAACCACGGGTTCTGCTTTAGTTCTGCTGAGTCATGGGTAAAATTGAAAGTACAAAAGTTTACACCGTCAGGTTCTAAAAATATTGGAATTTGAAAATTAGATTCTGAGGCGGTTGCCATAAAAATGACCAGCATTGAAAAAAAACCAAGACTGTATTTTTAATCCTTTTCTTATTTTCTAAAATTTGAACACCCTCCCTTTGAACCGACCGTATTAAGTTGCTGACTCAAATCTTGTGAATTTTGAATTAGAATTGAATCAAATATGGATTTTAATATTTCTGAACGGGGGGCCCATCAAATATATATCAATCTTGGTTGGTTCTTTTTTTAATTCATGGGAAAAATTTGGCATAAACTGTCAGAAAAACAAATGTTTTCAAAGGAATTGAGTCTTTGCCACAAACTCGGATTTTTAAAACCCAATTTCTTTAAAACCAAATGTCGTAGACCGTAGATATTTCAAATTATGAATTCTGGTGGATCAAATAATGTAAGTTTGAAATATGAAAGGTATGCATCATCTGGTTGTTGAGATACAGGTATTATAAAATTGGGATTTGTGGCAAAAACTCAATTCCTTTGTTTACACATTTGCTTTTTTACACTATGCAAAATTTTGACTTTTACAGAAAATAGACTGAAACTGAAACTGAAACTGAAATTGAAACTGAAACTTAAACTGAAACTGAAACTGAAACAGAATCTGAAACCGAATCTGAATCTGAAACTGAAACTGAAACTGAAACTGAAACTGAAACTGAAACTGAAACTGAAACTGAAACTGAAACTGAAACTGAAACTGAAACTGAAACTGAAACTGAAACGACCCAAATACGAAAATGTTGTAAAACTTGTTTTTTACACCTTATTCTTTTTTTTTTGGATAAAAATATTGTAAAGTTTATTAAAACAAACTTTTATTTAAAACAGTTTTGAAATCTTGGAAGTTTTAATAAAAGTTTTGAAAAAAAATCAAAACGATTAACATCATGAGATAGATCTTCTTGGGTAAAACCTAATTCACCTTTAGCTATCTATAATATATATACTTTGCTTGGGTGTCTGTTTGTATGTTTGTTTGTATCCATTAACGTAAAAACAGCTGAACCGATCGGCCCACATTTTTTGTGGAACTTCGCGCGACCCCAGGAAGTGTATATGGATGATCGAATTTTCAAAAATTTGCCTCTAACAAAATTCAATTTTTGAACATTTTGAAAATCCACGAAATTTTTTATGAAATCCGCGAAATTTTTTGTTTTGTTTTGTTTTACAATGTTTATACAAAGAGAACATGTTCACAATTGAAATAGAAGATTGGCGTGATTCGCTCTAAAAGCCTAGTTAATTTAAAATGGTTAATCATGGGACAAAAGTAAAAAAGTATAATATATTGTAGCGTATGTGTATAAAGTGGGGGTGGGGGTCGATCTAATTAACGAACTTTTACAGAAATTTTAATTTTTCAATCTAAAAACAAACTTCTTTTCGATTTTTACGTGAATATTTATAGGTTATAACAAACCCTTGAGGGTAAATGGAAACAGATTTATAAGTATGTGTCAATCATTTTTCATCTTTAAATCTTACAGCAATAAACAATACTTGCTTGGGAACTCAGATTTGTATGAATTTTCACTATACAAGTCAGCGCACTCAACTTAGAATTCTAAATCCAAGCTATGAAAATTCTCGAGTTCCCCCAATCAAAATTTGAGACGAATCAGTCAAGGGATTCATGAGTTATGATCGGACATAAAAACAGAGAT